ACCCAACACAGGCCCGGTGTGTGATGTTGCCACCCTGGTCTCCAAGTGTTCTCATTGTCAATCCCACCTAATGATGACGACCATCCGGCTGTCGGCCGTCTCGCCCTTTACCATTATGTAATGGCCTCCTTTGTCTCTTTTGATCTTTGTTGGCTTAAAGTCTGTTTTATCAGAGACTAGGATTGCAACCCCTGCTTTTTTTTTGCTTTCCATTTGCTTGGTAGATCTTCTATCCCTTTATTTTGAACCTATGTGTGTCTTTGCACGTGAGATGGGTCTCCTGAATATAGCACACTGATGGGTCTTGACTATTTATCCAATTTGCCAGTCTGTGTCTTTTAATTGGATCATTTAGCCCATTCACATTTAAGGTTAATATTGTTATGTGTGAATTTAATCCTGTCATTATTATGTTACCTGCTTATTTTGCCCATTAGTTGATGCAGTTTCTTCCTAGTAGCGATGGTCTTTACAATTTGGCATGTTATTGCAGTGGCTGGTACTAGTTGTTCCTTTCCATGTTCAGTGCTTCCTTCAGGAGCTCTTGTAAGGCAGGCCTGGTGGTGACAAAATCTCTCCGCATTTGTTTGTCTGTAAAGGATTTTATTTCTCCTTCGCTTATGAAGCTTAGTTTGGCTGGATATGAAATTCTAGGTTGAAAATTCTTTTCTTTAAGAATGTTGAATATTGGCCACCACTCTCTTCTGGCTTGTAGAGCTCCTGCTGGGAGATCTGCTGTTAGTCTGATGGGCTTCCTTTTGTGAGTAACCTGACCTTTCTCTCTGGCTTCCCTTAACATTTTTTGCTCATTTCAACCTCGGTGAATCTGACAGTTATGTGTCTTGGGGTTGCTCTTCTCAAGGAGTATCTTTGTGGTTTACTCTGTATTTCCAGAATTTGAATGTTGGCCTGCCTTGCTAGGTTGGGGTAGTTCTCCTGGATAATATCCTGAAGAGAGTTTTCCAACTTGGTTCCATTCTCCCCATCACTTTCAGGTACACCAACCAAACATAGATTTGGTCTTTTCACATAGTCCCATAGTTCTTGGAGGTGTTGTTAGTTTCTTTTTACTCTTTTTTCTCTAAACGTCTCTTCTCACTTTATTTCATTCATTTGATCTTCAATCACTGATACCCTTTCTTCCACTTGATTGAATCAGCTACTGAAGCTTGTGCATGCGTCACGTAGTTCTTGTGCCATGGTTTTTGGCCCCATCAGGTCATTTAAGGTCTTCTCTACGCTGTTTATTCCAGTTAGCCATTTTTCTAATGTTTTTTTCAAGGTTTTTAGCTTCCTTGTGATAGTTTCGAGCATCCTTCTTTAGCTTGGAGAAGTTTCTTATTACTGACCTTCTGAAGCCTACTTCTGTCAACTCGTCAAAGTCATTCTCTGTCCAGCTTTGTTCTGTTGCTGGCTAGGAGCTGCGGTCCTTTGGAGGAGAAGAGGTGCTCTGGTTTTTAGAGTTTTCAGCTTTTCCACTCTGTTTTCTCCCCATCTTTGTGGTTTTATCTGCCTTTGGTCTTTGATGTTGGTGACCTACAGATGGGGTTTTGGTGTGGATGTCCTTTTTGTTGATGTTGATGTTATTCCTTTCTGTTTGTTAGTTTTCCGTTTAACAGTAAGGTCTCTCAGCGGCAGATCTGTTGGAGTTTGCTGGAGGTCTACTCCAGACCTTGTTTTCCTGGGTATCACTAGCAGAGACTGCAGAACAGCAAATATCGCAGAACAGCAAGTATTGCTGCCTGATCCTTCCTCTGGAAGCTTTTTCCCAGAGGGGCACCTGCCTCTATGAGGTGTCACTCGGCCCCTACTGGGAAGTGTATCCCAGGTAGTCTTTTTTTTTTTTTTTTTTTTTTTGAGACGGAGTCTCGCTCTGTCGCCCAGGCTGGAGTGCAGTGGCGCGATCTCGGCTCACTGCAAGCTCCGCCCCCTGGGTTCACACCATTCTCCTGCCTCAGCCTCCCGAGTAGCTGGGACTACAGGTGCCCGCCACCTCGCCCGGCTAGTTTTCTTGTATTTTTTAGTAGAGATGGGGTTTCACCGTGTTAGCCAGGATGGTCTCGATCTCCTGACCTCGTGCTCCGCCCGTCTCGGCCTCCCAAAGTGCTGGGATTACAGGCTTGAGCCACTGCGCCCAGCCCCCAGGCAGTCTACATGGGGTCAGGGACCCACTTGAGGAGGCAGTCTGTCTGTTCTCAGATCTCAAACACCATGCTGGGAGAACCACTGCTCTCTTCAGAGCTGTCAGACAGGGATGTTTAAGTCTGAAGAAGTTTCTGCTGCCTTTTGTTCAGCTATGCCCTGCCCCCAGAGATGGGGTCTACAGAGGCAGTAGGCCTTATTGAGCTGTGGTGGGCTCTCCTCCATTCTAGCTTCCCGGCTGCTTTGTTTACCTACTCAAGCCTCAGCAAAGGCGGATGCCCCTCCCCCTTCCAGGCTGCTGAATTGCAGGTTGATCTCAGACTGCTGCCCTAGCAATGAGCAAGGCTCCATGGGCATGGGACTCACTGAGCCAGGTGCAGGATATAATCTCATGGTGGGCCGTTTGTAAGACCATTGGAAAAGTGCAGTATTTGGGCAGAAGTACCCTGTTTTTCCAGGTACAGTCTGTCACAGCTTCCCTTGGCTAGGAATGGAAAATCTCCTGACCCCTTGCACTTTCTGGGTGAAGTGACGCCCCGCCCTGCTTCAGCTCACCCTCCGTGGGCTGTACCCACTGTCCTACGAGTCCCAATAAGATGAACCAGGTACCTCAGCTGGAAATGCAGAAATCACCCATCTTCTGTGTTGATCACGCTGGGAGCTACAGACTGGAGCTGTTCCCATTTGGCCATCTTGGAATGGTTCTGGGTCATGTGTTTTGATCGTCTTGGAATATCTATCTTTTTTTTTTTTTTTTTTTTGAGACAGGGTCTGGCTCTCTCGCCTAGGCTGGAGTGCAGTGGTATGAACTTGGCTCACTGCAGCCTTGACCTCCCAGACTCAAGTGATCCTCCCACCTCAGCCTCCAGAGAAGTTGGGACTACAGGTGTGTACTACCATGCTTGGCTAGTTTTTGTATTTTTTTGTAGAGATTGGGTTTTTGCCATGTTGCCCAGGATGATCTTGAATTCCTGGGCTTAAGAGATCTACTTGGGGTGCTCGCAGCCAGGGGTTTCCATGGCGATGGTCAACAAGCCTCAACTGCCTCTGCTACAACTGCCAAGTTCCCCGCGTCCCACACTCCTCTAGGTGCTCCGAGGGACCACCGGGGTGCCTGATGTGAGAGCGGGAGCGTAGAGACTCGGAGGCTGAGGTTGAGAACAAAAAGATGCACCTGGACTTTCCCCGGAGCCCTCTGCGTGGTTGAGCTTCGGTGGAATTTCGGGGCTCTTGGCTGCCAGCCGCGCTTGCCTGGTAGCAACAGAAACCAGTCCCGCTCGCCTCCGAGGACAGTTCATTACCATCCAGAAGTGTCTCCCACTGAAGGCATCCGCGGTTGTTTTTAAGCCACAAAAAAGCCACACCCAAGATCACCTGACACCCACCCTGTCAAGTGTCCATGATGCTGGGCCCTGAGGGAGGTGAAGGCTTTGTGGTCAAGCTCCGTGGCCTGCCCTGGTCCTGCTCTGTTGAGGACGTGCAGAACTTCCTCTCTGACTGCACGATTCATGATGGGGCCGCAGGTGTCCATTTCATCTATACTAGAGAGGGCAGGCAGAGTGGTGAGGCTTTTGTTGAACTTGGATCAGAAGATGATGTAAAAATGGCCCTGAAAAAAGACAGGGAAAGCATGGGACACCGGTACATTGAGGTGTTCAAGTCCCACAGAACCGAGATGGATTGGGTGTTGAAGCACAGCGGTCCCAACAGTGCTGACAGTGCCAACGATGGCTTCGTGCGGCTTCGAGGACTCCCATTTGGATGCACAAAGGAAGAAATTGTTCAGTTCTTCTCAGGGTTGGAAATCGTGCCAAACGGGATCACATTGCCTGTGGACCCCGAAGGCAAGATTACAGGGGAAGCGTTCGTGCAGTTTGCCTCGCAGGAGTTAGCTGAGAAGGCTCTAGGGAAGCACAAGGAGAGGATAGGGCACAGGTACATCGAGGTGTTTAAGAGCAGCCAGGAGGAAGTTAGGTCATACTCAGATCCCCCTCTGAAGTTCATGTCCGTGCAGCGGCCAGGGCCCTATGACCGGCCCGGGACTGCCAGGAGGTATATTGGCATCGTGAAGCAGGCAGGCCTGGAGAGGATGAGGCCCGGTGCCTACAGCACAGGCTATGGGGGCTACGAGGAGTACAGTGGCCTCAGTGATGGCTACGGCTTCACCACCGACCTGTTCGGGAGAGATCTCAGCTACTGTCTCTCCGGAATGTATGACCACAGATACGGCGACAGTGAGTTCACAGTGCAGAGCACCACAGGCCACTGTGTCCACATGAGGGGTCTGCCGTACAAAGCGACCGAGAACGACATTTACAACTTCTTCTCTCCTCTCAACCCTGTGAGAGTCCATATTGAGATCGGCCCAGATGGAAGAGTGACGGGCGAAGCAGATGTTGAGTTTGCTACTCATGAAGAAGCTGTGGCAGCTATGTCCAAAGACAGGGCCAATATGCAGCACAGATACATAGAACTCTTCTTGAATTCAACAACAGGGGCCAGCAATGGGGCGTATAGCAGCCAGGTGATGCAAGGCATGGGGGTGTCTGCTGCCCAGGCCACTTACAGTGGCCTGGAGAGCCAGTCAGTGAGTGGCTGTTACGGGGCCGGCTATAGTGGGCAGAACAGCATGGGTGGCTATGACTAGTTTTGTTAGGAACATTTGAGTTATTTCAATCAAATTTTCACAGGCAGCCAACAAGCAGTTAAGAGCAGTTATAATAGAGGAAGCTGGGGGACCCATTTTGCACCATGAGTTTGTGAAATCTGGATTAAAAAATTACCTCTTCAGTGTTTTCTCATGCAAAATTTTCTTCTAGCATGTGATAATGAGTAAACTAAAACTATTTTCAGCTTTTCTCAATTAACATTTTGGTAGTATACTTCAGAGTGATGTTATCCGAGTTTAAGTAGTTTAAGTATGTTAAATGTGGATCTTTTACACCACATCACAGTGAACACACTGGGGAGACGTGCTTTTTTGGAAAACTCAAAGGTGCTAGCTCCCTGATTCAAAGAAATATTTCTCATGTTTGTTCATTCTAGTTTATATTTTCATTTAAGATCCTTTAGGTTAAGTTTAAGCTTTTTAAAAGTTAGTTTTGAGAATTGAGACACAATACTAATACTGTAGGAATTGGTGAGGCCTTGACTTAAAACTTTCTTTGTACTGTGATTTCCTTTTGGGTGTATTTTGCTAAGTGAAACGTGTTAAATTTTTTGTTAACTAAATTTTTTTCTTAAAATAAAGACTTTTTCACAAAAAAAAAAAAAAAAAAAAAGAGATCTACTTGGCTTGGCTTCCCAATATGCTGGGATTACAGGTGTGAGCCACCACACCCAGCCCTTTGTTTATCTTTTGAGTGGTGTATGTAGACCATTGACATTTCAAGTGATTATTGATATAGTAGAATTGATGTCTGCCATATTTGTTATTGTTTTTATTGGTTGCTCTTGTTCTTTGTTCCTATTTTTGTCTTCCATACTTTTTTTTTTTTTGCCTTTTGTAGTTTGTTTTTTAAACTTCTATTTTAATTTTTTAAAGAATTTAATGCATTTTAAAACTTGTAGGAATAGCACAGAAGACAGACAATATTAGAAACATGCACTGTCATGTAGGATAATTCAGAATAGTGAATGAATGGGGTCTACTGTATGATAAAAATGCTACAAACACCATTTGGTTGCTGTCCATAGAAGCTGAATGTTTTAAAAACTCCAAATGCTGGCATTGTCCAGAAAAATATAACTGGTTTGTTTATAATTATTATAAAGTTGAACTCCTGAAACTTGTTCACTGAAACATTTTGACTTGCATTAATGCCTTATGTCTCTGCATTTATATTAAAAATTCACACACAAAAATGGAAAAACTGCCAATATTTGATTTAAGTCCTGTATTTTTCCACTCACAATCATATTCTTAGGTTCCTTTTGACCCCATGTAAAAAGAAAACTTAACATTCAGAACTATCAATAACAGGTGGTAAAGAGAATTTTTTTTTTTTTGTTTTTGAGAATGAGATGTTTCCCATCCTAGTGATCTTAACCACGTTTTCCACATATGGGGCATATTAGCGGGATGTCTTTTGGCACAATTGTTACACATTTGGCATGGATAGCACACAAGTTAGTGTCTTCAGAAAGGCATCGCTTGACTCCTGCAAAGCACCAATAGCTGCGGTCTGGAAGCGCAGATCTGTTTTAAAGTCCTGAGCAATTTCTCACACCAGATGCTGGGAGGGAAGTTTGTGAAACAGGAATTCTTCCACTTCAGATGACGTCTGATTTCCCGGAGTGCCACAGTACCGAGCCTGGGACCATGAGTTTCCTCCACCCCTCCGGTAGAGGGCGCACTCTGCGAGTCTTTTGGAGCCGGTGGCTTCCTGGGCTCTTTACACCGGTGGCCTTGTGGGCAGTCGGCTTTGTGGAAGCCCAGGTGTGGAGACCTCCTGGCTCTAGCCCCCTCTCCTTCATTGCACAGAGGTAGAGGAGGCGCTGGTGTTAGCGAGGGTGGGCGAGAAAGGCTCCTTTTGCAGTTTTAACTAAACATTTTATGATTCCATTTTCTTTCCTTTTTCAGCATATCAATTATACTTTTTAAAAAAATTGGGTTGCCTGAGAGCTCACAATGTACATTTACAATTAATCTAAATTCAGTTTCAAATAACACTATACTGCATCAAGAGTAATGCAAATATCTTTAAATTATTTATATATTTATTTATTTATTTATTTATTTTTGAGACGGGGTCTTGCACTCCAGGCTGGAGTGCAGTGGAGTGATCTCGACTCACTGCAGTCTCCACCTCCCAGGTTCAAACGATTCTCCTGCCTCAGTCTCCTGAGTAGTGGGGATTACAGGCGTCCACCACCATGCATGGCTAATTTTTTCCTGTATTTTTAGTAGAGATGGGGTTTCACCATGTTGGCTAGGCTGGTCTCAAACTCCTGACCTCAGGTGATCTGCCTGCCTCGGCCTCCCTAAGTGTTGGGATTACAGGTGTGAGCCACTGCATCTGGCCACAAATATCTTATCACAAAACACAGTCCTAATTCCACTTTTGTGTCCGTTGTAGCATTGCTGTCATTCATTTCACTTACACGTAAGCATACAGAAACACACACACATATGCATATACAAGCATGCATACACATACACACAAAAGCATACAGAAATAAATATATTGTTATTATTTTAAACAAGTCATTATCTTTTAGATCAATTAAGAATGAGGAAAATATGTTTTTTTTATTGTGCCTTTACTTATTCCTTCTCTGATGCTCTTCCTTTCTTTTTGCAGATCTGACTTTCTGACCTATATGTTTTTTTTTTTTTTTTCTCTCTCTGAAGAACTTCTTTTAAAATTTATTGAAAAGCAGTGCTACTGGCAACAATTTCCCTCAATTTTTGTTTGAGTCTTTATTTCTACTTCACTTTTGAAGGATAATTTTACAGGGCAGGATTTTAGGTTGGTGTTATTTTTTTTTTCCTCTTAACACTAAATATTTTACTCCAGTCTCTTCTTGCTTGCATGTTTCTGAGAAGTCTGATGTAATTCTTTGTTCCTCTATAGGTAAGGTTTTTTTTTTTTTTTAACTTCTGGCATCTTTCAAGGTTTTTTCCTTTTGATTTTTCTGAAGTTTGAATATGATGTGCTCAGTAGAGTGTTGTTTTTTTTTTTTTGAGACAGAGTCTTGCACTGTCACTGTCACCTAGGTTGGAGAGCAGTGGCGCAATCTCAGTTCACTGCAAGCTCCACCACCCTGGTTTGTGCCATTCTCCTGCCTCAGCTTCCTGAGTAGCTGGGACTACAGGTGCCCGCCACCATACCCAACTAATTTTTTTGTATTTTTAGTGGAGACAGGGCTTCACTGTGTTAGCCGGGATGGTCTTGATCTCCTGACCTCGTGATCCGCCTGCCTTGGCCTCCCAAAGTGCTGGGATTACAGGCGTGAGTCACCACACCTGGCCTACTCAGGTATAGTTTTTTTCCTTTTTGCATTTATTCTGCTTTATGTTCTCTGGCTTCCTGGATCTGTGGTTTAGTGTCTGACATTAATTTGAGGGAAATTCATAGTCATTGTTGCTTCAAATATTGCTTCTGTTTTCTTTTTTCTCTTTCTGGGATTCAGTTTTTCAGTCTTTTTTTCTCTTTGTGTTTCAGTTTGGAAGTTTCTGTTATCATATCCCACAGCTCAGAGATTTTTTTCCCTCGGCCATGTCCAGTCTTCTTGTGAGCACGTCAAAGGCATTCTTCATCTCTGTTACAGTGTTTTTGATCTTTAGTATTTCTTTTTGATTCCTTTGTGGAATTTCCATCTCTATGTCTATACTATCCAGTGTTCTTACATGTTATCTACTTTCTTCATTAAAGCCCTTCGCATATTAACTCATATGAGGGAGTAGGAGTTAGGATTTTCCCTTGCCCCACGTGGAAGGCTACAGCAGGCTGGGATTGGTTATTTCCCTTCTGTTAGGTTCTGAAACACACCCAGCAGGTGAGACTTGGGTACATCAGTTTCTCTTGAGGGCAGGTCTTGTTAGAAGAACAGAATGCTCTGTTTTATCTCAAAATGGTTCCTTTTCTCCTCCTCCTGCTGGAAGCTCCAGAGGATTTTCTTTCTGTAACATTCACTGCGCAGCTGCTAGAGCTCCTAAAGGTAAACTTACAGAAGTGTGGGGTCTCCCTGTGACTGGGTCATCCTGGAATTTTTAACTCTCAGACCTGTACACACTGAGCCTCCAACAATTTATCAATTACAGTCCAGGGTTTTCTACCCTGGTACTGGTTCCCATAGAGGTTTCTGCTCTGGTAATTTGTGATTCTCTGTATCTGCCTGCCTGCCTCTCTAATTCTGGGGTAGCAGCGTGCCCTTGACCTCATTTCTCTGAGGGCTATAAGAGGTGTCATTGACTTCGCAGTTTGTAAATCTCCTGGCGTAGATGCTTGATAGATGGTAGTTGCGGTGGGGGGACTCTCTGAAGCTCAGCGTTTCATTTGGGCAGTGGTGTGGGGTTGGAACTTGTCCATGCTCTCTACTCAATGCCCTTATCACTAGGATGCTCAGCGGTTTCCTGGTACCCTTGCTGTTTCCTGGGTTATTGGGGGCGAAGGAGGTACGTCCCTCCTACAGCAACAGTGGCTTCCCAAGCTCCTCTTTGTAGCATCAATTTTTGTCAAACCAGAGGCATGAGTTGACCATCCCACCAAGGGCAGGAAGGCGTGAGCTCCCTCCCCTTGGACCAAAGGCTTCAGGTTATCCATGACTCTAAAGAGCAGAGCCACAAAGAGTGACAAGGCAGTGGCAGCAAACCACGGAACAATTTACGGAGCATGGAAAAGACTCTGCAGCTTCCCATTGGTATTTAAGCTACATTCTGAGGCTCAGAGAACAATCACTGTCAGGCATATTATCTTTGAATACAAAGGACAACAAAGTGTAATACAGTCTGCAGTTCAGCCCAACATTCTTGTCGGTAACATTTCCAATTTTTTTATTTTTCTCACTACTTGACAATATTATGATTTCTTCCTACAGGGGATGAAACTATAGGTCCCTGCCTATTTCCCTGCTTGGCTATTCTTTGAGGTTCTATTATAAGCCTCTGGCAGGCTGCCGCAGACATATAAACCTTTTTTTTCAAGGCTACACACGTGGTACTCAGTTTCCATTCATCTTTTGTCCACTCTGGTCAGGGATGGTGCTGACGACAGACCCCAAGATCTCAGTAATCTTGGGAATTAGGTTGAGGTTTCAGAACTCGTGATTGCAGAGTCAAATAATGCAGACTTGGCAAAGCCGTCCCTGCCAAATGCCCCTTTTATCTGAATTAAAAAACATGGTGCCAGGTTCCAAGCTGTGTACTCATTCCAAAAAGTCTATGTTTTCTGGCATAATTTAACTTTTAGGTCAACAGGGTTTAAAATATAGCTTTGTCTTTTTCCATTAACACCTAATAAGACCCTATGTAGTTTTAGAAAAGCACTGTGAATATTACAGTATTTTGTATTTGGAAACAAAACAAAACAAAACAAAATCTATTTCCTCTTAAAAAAAACTGAGGAGAAATTAAGCAAGCGGACTTAGTGTTCATAGTAATATTACATGTTTTTAAGTTAAGGTATCTTTCAAGATAAAAATGCATTTTAAATATTACTGTTTTGTATTTAGCTGTGGTATGTAGTTTATTCTGCAACTTTAATGACCCTTAAAGGAGTGTGTGATTTTGTGCTTATCTTAGAGGGCATGGGTTAATAAAGGTTGAAAAGACTGTCGT